AGTGTTTATATAAGGACATTGAAGAAGACACAAGTAGTCAAAAGAGAATTAGTGAGAAAGCTGAGGAATTAGCTGGCAGCCGGGAGAAAACAGAGTGAGAGAGGGATAAAGCAGTAAACCCTCTTTAATGGATGACTAAATATTTCATGCTTATTTTGGAGATTGTGGTATTACTTAAGTGCAGACAGGCAGTGAAGGCTAACAGAACTGAGTCTCAGAGATCAGCGTGTTTCAGCTGCATTTCAGGAATGTAAGTAATACACACTGAGGAAGAGGAAACATTAGGACTGACTGCTCAGTTCACACAACTGTGTTCAGACTGTGAGCAGTGTTTGAATCCGTTTGATCCCATGTCACATGCACGGTTGGATCCTTGATGTGGATGAACTGGATAGCGTAGATTGATAGATAGATCACAAAAAAAAGTTTTGAAATAACTATTACATTTTTTTTTTAAGTCATTTTAGTCCTTCAGCTGCTGTCTTGTTGAGCTGCATAAATATTAACACAAAGATTACACAAAAATAAAGTGAACCTCATATTTAATAATTAAAAGTTTTTGAAGTCAGTTATAAAACAAATATACCAAATATTCACTTGTCTATTTGTACTTGTTCTGGGTTTTCACTATTTTGTGACTTCTTATAGACCAGGGGTGTTTTTAAGCACCCCTTATCTAATAGAGAGATGGAGCAGGGTCCTCATACTACATATATTGTATAAGACTGTGTGGTGTAAACTGGCCCTACAATAATATGTACAATAATTGCCCTACACGAAGGCCGAGCATGATCAGATGGTTGCAATATGGGCTGCCCTGATAGCTCTCCTGTTAGAGCTGGTGTACCCATGTACCACGGCTGAGTCCTTGCTACAGAGGCCATGGGTTTGACTTGGACTTCGATCCCCTCCCTCTCTTCCCCCTTTCCTGCCAATCTTCAGCTGCCTAAGAGCCATCGAAAATTCCTCTTCTGGCTCTCGGCATAAAGATATTGACACACTATATTGATTCTTTTTTTTTTGCTTTTTTTTTGCTGTACTTTTCCTCTTTGCGGGGTGCCTTGTCTTTTGAAACACCTTAATTATCTTGTACATGACAGAAATTTTTTTGTCTTCCTTTATATTTCAAGACTTCTTTGTCTTACTGTCTGTGCTTTTCCAGTGTTCATGTAAAGTAAACAAGAAGTTCCTCTATCGACAAAGCAACAACCTTGACGTAACTCCTTGCGTGCTGTTTTTATGCAGCTGCATCAAAGTTTGAAACTAAATTTAAAAGACAGATAGCCATGGTTTCACTTCCTATATGTAACAGGAAAGTACGAGAATTTCTCTCTTTTTTGAATTCATCTTTACATGTATGTATGTCACTAACTTCTCGCTGCTAAGGGCTCGCTCCTCTGTCCTTTCTTCTCTTGCCCTCTTTATTTTCTCTTCCTCTTCTCTGCTGCCAGGAGCCTTGAACGCATAATTATAATGCAATTATCCTTTCAATGGATGACAGAGAGGGAGAAAGAAAGGAAGGGCGAAAGAAAAAATGAGGTAGTGTAGCGAACAGGGCTGAATATCAGGAGCCTGCTTCAATAGAGATAGAGCGCAAAAGAGAGAAAGAGAGATTATTTTTGAGCCAGAGAGACAGAAGGCCAGAAGACAAGAGAGACCTAAAGAGACTTATGGAGAGCGAAGACAAGATGTTCTAGGGGGAAAGAAAAAGACTGAGATAGAGGGTTTGGCTGGGTAGACTCGGTCCCTGATGTAAAGATGGGAGGAAAGCTGAACAGCTATAAAATATTCTCTCAGAAGGCTCTCCTGCCTACAAGTCTTCAGTATGCAGAGGGAAGGAGGGGAGGAATGTAAGAAAGAGAAAGAGGTGGAGGAGGACAAGAAGGTAGAGGGAGAGGGAGAGAAAAGGAGGATTAGAGGAGATAAAGCAAGACATAGACGAGTTAGAGGAGGGTATATAGACGGAGAATGAGGGAGGGAGAAAAAGGTTGGTGTAGGTGGAATGGGAGGGAGGAGACGAGGGTTGCAACCTAGGATGAGGAGAGAGGGAAGAATGGGATTAGAGATGGGCAGGAGAAATGCATTCAGAAAGTAAGGGGTTAGATTGAAGGAGCTGGGAGAAGGATGAAGAGAGAGAAGGAGGAAGGAAGCTGAAGAAAAAGTGAGAAAGGGCTTAGAAAGGAAGGTAGCAGAGAAATGGGGAAAAAGTATGTGATGGAGAGCAACAAAGGAGGTGAATTAAGGGATGAATGGAGATAGGAGGAAACTAGCAGAAAGACAGAACAGAGGTGAGAAAGAAATGAAAAGATCTGGCGATCCAGGTGCTATGACTTCAGTCTTTATACTATCCATATGATGGTCAGATACCATATGTACATGCAAAATGACTGGTATCAGTAATCATTCTTCCTGTCCACACTGGCTGTGGAAGGATCCCTTAGTGGAAAAACTGACAGACAAAATCCACAGTCCTTGTGCGAATTTAAGTTAAAAATAATGAGGCCAACTGAAATTTAGATTGCAAGGACTTTTTTGTTGTTTGTTTGTTTGTTTTTTTTTCTGCTCCAGCATACATATCTGCTATGTAAACCTAAGGCCATGTGTTCTCATTTGAGAAAAAAATTTAGAAACCCAAAGGGAGAAATGTATATTTGATGTCGCCTTCTATCTTTGCTTCAATTCATGACTGTTAGTTCTGCTTTCTATGTCAGTGAAGAACTACCATACAGCCAGTCATTTTAAAAATGTCTACAAAGCAGTAGGTTGCTGTTCTATCATAGGCAGTCATAATGACAGCTAACAGCTTGATTCCCAGAGTGAAAAAATCGCCTATAAAAACGTACACGTACAGTCCATTGCATTACTTGTAGTTAATCACAGTAAGATTGGCCCACATGCATGTAAACTTAGAAGAGATGAGGATTTATCTGGATTTAAAATATGTTGTGGTTTGACAAGTTGAACATGACGTCCTTCAGCAACTCTTTAACTTTTGTCCTTTCTCTTATTCTGCCAATTTCAGAACTTGCATTATTTGTGTTCAGTTTGCAGCTGTTAAGTCTTAAATTTGAATTTGGGTTCAAATATTATAAAAGTATTGAAAGCATCTTCAATTCAGCTTCCTAAAACCCACAGATGCAATGCAGATTGATGAAAGAAATCAGAAAGAGCTGAGGGCGTGGAGATAGATAACAAGTGAAGAGGGGGAAAGATACAAAGAAATAAAAGTCAGAGGAAGGTAATGAGAGGAATGAAAGGATAAAAGACTGAAAGACACAGATGTTGAGATGCAAGGGAATAGATGAGTGAGAGACCTAAAAAAAATAGAGGGGTTGTTGAGTTTGGTGAACGTTATCTAAAATTGGAGATGGGGCAAAAAAATGAGGACATGAGGAGGAAAAAGGAGGCAGAGGAGGAGACGGAGAGAAAGGAAGAAAGAAAGAAGGGGATGTGTTGAGGAGAAAAGGGAGAGTGCAAAAGAGCCCGAGGCCAAACTGAATGAAGGGGCGAGGGGAGGGGGAGAGGTGGAAATATTTGACTGCAATGCGTTTTTGTAAAGTTTTATCCAGGGCAACTGAAGCAAAGAAGTCTTCCGTGTGTTTTCAAGTCACAGAGGCAAATATTAAAACAGCGGACACACCCAACACAATAAAGTGACTGATTTATGTCTTTTGTTGTTAGTATTTTTAAGATTCACAAAATCTTTATATGGATATCGATTGACTGAAGAAGCTGCGTTGAATTCTGATGACCCCTGAGGTCGATAATATGTGAAGGGTTCATTTTGCAAAAACATCTGTATGTATCTCTGTTTTTACTCCACGGAATATCAGTCATACTGGAGTTGGGTTGTGTTGATAAGATAGATTAAAATATTTAATTTTCAGAAATAATGTTTTTATTGTGCACTCAAGGGAATATCTAACTGGGTTGGTTTGTTCACTGTAAGAATGGCATTTATCTGTTTTTGTCAAACAGAATCTGAAGGCAGAAAGTAAACATTTTTATTTGTGTTGGGTGTGTATGTGTTTGTGTCCCAAAAACAGGTACTCCTCCTATTCTATACGTCAATACAAATTCCAGAATCTATGAATATGCAAATTTTTATTCATTTCTAAAGTTTTTTCTGCTGGTGTTGCTGTAGATGGTAGGGAAGGTTTTATTGAGCATGTTTTTTTTATTATTAGTTGGTTGCAAGCCAAATAAAATAGAACAGGAAGAAGAGCAATAGCAGTGTGTCTGATGTAAATAAATCAGATGATTTTATTTATATTTTTCAAAAGAAAGCAATTATTTTGTTCGGTAGGAAATACATAAATGTAACTTAAATGCAAGTAGGAATTGAGGATTCACGGTTTGGTGAACACTGGTCATGTTAAAACTCCATTGCACTGGGTACCATTTAGGAAAATAACATTTTGCATGGAAGTATTATGTGCATTACATTTTATTCTCTATATAGTTTTATCAACTTATTATTATATTATTATTTCTGACTGGGCTATTAGCTCATGATTTTACCTTAGACATCTTACTAAGGATTTAGTATTGGAATATTATAAAGCATACAATTCTAAACCGGAAATTAAATCATAAAGTCACCATATGTGACCCAACTACACTCATTATTTGGACTAGAAAGGTTCCATTCTGGTCAAAAAAAGGGGATTAAATTGCCAGGTTTAAGGGTTTGATCCCCACTGCTGCCACCAGTGTTCTGTCCTGCTGCAAGTTGCTTTAGATAAAAGTATCCACCAAATCTCATTCTAACCAGCAATTTTAGCAGCAGCACCTGACAAAGACACACACTGTGCATTCTAATGGTATGATGCACTTGCAGCCACACAGTGTGTGCCTGTTTGTCATGCAGACTGGAATAAATTCTGAATTGGCTGCAGGCACTTGATTAAGGTGTTAAAGGTGTGTGTGACCTACAGTAAAATGAGCAGTTTTCTCATTTAACTGAACCTTTGTGTATCCTGTGCTTCATCTCTCCTCAGATACACTAAGATGAAAACGGCCACGAACATCTACATCTTTAATCTGGCTCTGGCTGACTCCTTGTTTCTGGCTACTTTACCATTCCAGGTAGGACCTTATCAACATGTGCAACAGATTACATAAGTCTATCTCCGGACTTTGTATGGTGTTTCCTGAGCTAGTCTTTTTGCCCAATTTTGGAATTACATTCAGGTAAAATGAAAATCCCATTAATGTTATGTCACATAATTTTTACAAATTTAGTTGCATTATTACAGTAATAAACAATCAAACTCTTTTTTTCTGGTAATGGTAAGGGATGTGTGTGGCCTTTAATGGTGGCAATAAAGGCCAGTAAGTATGAATTCAGTATAAGTAAATGCAATATGATATATTTCCTGACCCTAAGATCATAAACAATAATGTCTCTGCAAAGGAACATTTGTACTGGTTTGTGCCAACGATGTAGCTTTTATTGTGTCCACCTCTTGTCATAACAACTATATTTGTATGATGTATTATGGAAATATTGTTGCACTGTTCTACATCACTGGTTTAAATACACATACTATCATAAAGACTTATTTGGTTTCTTTATGGTTTCAGGAAAACTTTATCATAATTTGAGTGATTTATTGCTTTGTGCCTTATCAGGCAGTGCAACTGACCAGTATGTTCTCTGGTATATAACTACACAGACCCATCTTTTCACAACTGCTTTTAAATCTTCACAAAGGTATTGTGGCTGGAAGATTAGATATTTTTAAAATTTCTCTGTCAATCAAAATATTTAGCATGCATAGTTTTAAAATGTTCTGTGTACATACTGACTTGAACTGATCGATTCACCACACACCAAGTGGTTCAAACCAAAACCCTGAAAAAACTAAAGTTTTGCTGTCTTGCCAGCATCTGGATGTTATCAGGACTTTCATCAGTCACTGGCCAGTTGTCAAGTGTTACAGTTTTGTGCTTCATTGCACTGATTTGTTTCCACTTCATTGAAAAATTAACTGCCCAAAGTCATATTTCAGAGGAGATGGAGTTCTCTGTTCTGCCTCCGGCTGTGTTTATATGCTCTTTCTCTGATATCTGAATATTTCCAGGGCACAGACGTGTTCCTGGGCTTCTGGCCATTTGGGAATGCTCTGTGCAAGGCAGTGGTGTCTATCGACTACTACAACATGTTCACCAGCACCTTCACCCTGACGGTGATGAGTATGGACAGGTACGTGGCCGTCTGCCACCCTGTCAAAGCGCTGGACATGAGGACTCCTCACAAGGCAAAGGTAAAACTGTTTCATTTAAAAGTGAGATATTCCCCTTTCCATAACCTTCACACCTCATTTATTCTTCCTGAAATCACCACTGACATCAGATCAGGTGTCAACATTCTGAAATTGAAAAAAGATAGATAAACTGTGTCATAACCTGGTTCACAGGCCATGACAAAAACGCTCCCCCCATAAAGTCGGTGTCCCAAGGAGGATAACCACCAATAAGTACAAACTATCACTTAAATCACTCAAAAGTATTAAAAAGGAAAGAAAATAAATATTCACATGACCATCCTGCCCTCAGCCCTCATTTATACTTATTAATTATCAAATAATCAGTTACAATCCTATAATCCCGTTTCCTTTCGTTGTTACATATTTCATTTGTAATATAGAATCAACTTCAATCATTATACAGCTTTTGGTTATTATAATCTCTGTGCATTGTGTTATTCAGATGGAGAGTCCCTAATGCTACGTTGTTATCTTTCTCCGTTACGCGATGGAAAGTCCTTTCCAAAGTGGTTTTAGCGGCTCAGGGATCTCAACTTACTTGACGCTGCTTATACCCACACATCTTCAGCACCCCTGGTACCACAGCAAGAATACACAGACTTTTATACATATATATATAAATATATAGTTATTCCAACAGTGATGGATTTATTAATTCACATTCTGATCTAGATGTTAGAACAGGTGGACTTGCAGATGTCAGGTTGTCTTGTCTAATGTCTTTAAAAAGAAAAGATAGGCAAGGTAATGATGCTTGACATATAAACTCAGACATGATGCTGACATTGTTTGTTATCATGTCATATTTAATGTGTTTAAAGGCTTCAAATTATGACACAGAAAAGCACACTGTGGATAAATTATGGTCTACATAACCAGATAAATCGAAATTGTCTGGTGCAATTAGAGCAGCACAGCTGTTCCATATGTCAAACAGCTGTGAAGTATTTGTAATAGAAATGGCAAAAACGGTGTTGCACAGTGTTACATTTCCCACAAGTCTGGGGTTTATTTATATCGGCATGTACTGTACATCGCGTGGACACCTCTTTATGTGATGGTATGTGAAAGCAAAGCTATTTCAGCAATATCTTCAACCGACATTGACGAGCAAACATTCTGTTCGGTGATGACATCTCAAGAAACAGGCACTGATGAAAATATGACAAAATGAAGAAATGCAAACACAGAAGCAGATGATTTTCAGTTTTTTTTTTTTATCACAGTCATCCTTTAAGACTGCTGCCGTGTAAAAATATAAAGACATTTTATTTCAAAGGGCAACTTCGATTTTACACATCAAAGTCTGTTTGCTTGGTGAGTACTGCTGTGTATGTGAAACAAGTACTTTCAAGCATTTTATGGCTCCAAAGGAAGCTGCAGAAAATATGATAGATTACCTCAAGTGATGTCACTAGAGTCAGTGTCAGTTGGTGCTGAAGACTAATAAGTTTAAAAATTAGAAAAACAACTCAACTCAACTATGATTGAGGCTAGAAGCTCAAGGCTACATGATCATTGTGGGTAATGTAGTTCTAACAAAAAAGAAGAATACATTCATCTGCATCTTTATATCTCTGGCTGTGGTACATCAATTTAGATTTTTTTAAATTGTCCATCATGAATCCAAAAATGTTTCCCCACACATAACATCAATAATATAGCTGTATTTCATTTAGGTTTACCACTTAGAAAGTCCTGGTATTGTGTATGCCAGATCACTGTCATAGTTTACTAGAATAATTGATCAGAACATAGACATTGTTCAAGTTATAACTGAGCTTTGAGTTTGAGTGTTGTGATCACTCACAGTTGTGCATTTGAACAATTATGTAATTGGTTAGCAAAGTAAAAAGAAAATCATTCGATTTAGCAAAGTAATTACACAATTTTAAAATTGTACAAGTGAACTAATAGAAAGTTCTTGTCACAAAGGTGTCATACCATCAGGCATTTTAGATTTGTAGACATAAGGGTTATTAAATAATGCATTTTATTATGTAACCACTGTATCTGTATAGGTTATTCATCATCACTATTGTGTTATCATGTCCTCAGGTGGTGAATATCTGTGTGTGGGTATTGGCTTCAGCCTTTGGTGTCCCTGCCATGGTCCTGGGAAATGTAGAGGAGGAACCAGAGCATAACAGTAAGTAATTCACACACACATACACACACATATATGCAGTGTATATATTTATACCGATACACGGTATGCATGTACTGACATGTACATTCACATGCCTTCCTTCACATGTGTGCATTTGAAACAAACAGCCTTACAGCATATATTACTGGACATACATGCATTGTTATTGTGACTGCGATGTGTGAATTGTTATGTCTAATTAATATGCAAAAGAATACACAGTGCAGCACACCTTTTACATATATATTTCATTATCTGCTGCTGAAACAGGCAGGTGTGAAAAAGTGGCTTCAATCTGTATTTCAAGAGATCTCATGTGATGTGAATTAACCTATTTACAAGTGTTGTTATTGTTCCAGTTTTTATAGCTTTTATTGCACAGCATCTGACTAATGGGCTCAACACATGTTGCTGCACGATGCCCCTTTTTTTCTCCATTTCCTATCAAACAAGTACAAAGAAATTTCAAACCGGCTGCCTGTCATACTCCACATGATGCTCCATGTTATGAACTTTTACACAGCGGGTCCACATTCATATTCTTGATCTCTTACTTCTTAATGCGAACCAATCAGCAGAATGAGAAAACAGTTTGAGTTACTAGCTTTTATGTTTTAATTATAGATTGATCAGACTCACCCAACACAATCTGATTGTGCTGGTGTTGGTCAAAAGGAATGCACAGCTTCTTCTCGAATTCATGGATGCATTGCAGTATTCTTGCTATCCACTGGTTTGTTGAACAACAGTGCTGCATCATTCAGAAAACCTCAAAACCTGTCTGTCAGATCCTTTTTGAGGTGCTTCCAAACACCAGTTATACGCTTGCCTCTTCCAATATTATGCACATATTGTGTAATTTCCTTGGAAGACTCTTCTGCGCTCATTATATCTCACACAATCTGAGATTCTGAGATGAGAAAAATAATAAACGGTGGTTCTGCATGAATTTGTCTCAACCATAAATTGTCATCATGGACATGGATATAACAGAGCTCAGGGAAAAAAAATATTGTATCACATAATCTGAGAGCATGGGATCTTCTAAAATGTACAAATAGCTAGTAACAACATTCTATCAGTATTTAATTATCCTATAAATAATTTGCTTAAGCTGTCCTTCAGGTTTTCAAATTTGAATTATGCATGTCTGTGTTTCCAGCCCTTGTGAGCAGAAGGAAGTATGAGGCAAGTATATTAATAACTGCAGCTCACACACTGCACAGACAGTTTGCTTCTGTAGTCTAAATAACCCCACTGTACTTGCAAATGCAAAGTTTAAGTTAGTTTTATGTTACTGATGGTTAAACAGAATAATAAAGTCTGCCCAACCTACCCCCCCCCCACCCCCCCCCTTTACTGCCACCTTAACATCAAACCGTCATAATGAGGCTATAAATCTCCATGCTTGACAACTTTCTTATTGCTGCTTTTGCTCATTTATCTGATTTATTCCTCTCGCTTCCAAGAGGAGCCAGTACCAAGAGAAATCCAACCATAACATACAGACTTATTTCAAGTCAATATTTAATAGAGCATCACCTGAAGTTCAATAATTTAATCAAGTCTGGCTTCAGCCCTCCCTTCCAGGATGCACAGCTGAACTCCCTTCCCTTTAATGCGATGTCAGTCTGTCAGGTGCTCTTCTACCACAACATGAACGTGTAACACGTGTGAACATCAACAAATCTGATCCAAAGAAGGTTCATTTAATCCTCATGGTTCACCTAACTGCTTTGTTAAAAGTTTGCACTTGTGTGACAGTTTATATTTTCATTTATTGCACAACTCCCACACTACATGCACACTAAAGCCCTTTCAGACATAAACCTTGATGCATAAATGTGCCTAAGCAACCAGGGAACTTTTTCATAGAAGACAGAAGACATCACAACAACAGTTTAGTAGAATGAATCTAGCAACACTATCCAACGGTGTAACACTGAATCGAACGCTATCAGATTAACGTAAAGGCTACAGCAGCCCAAGGTAACACATGGGAACACATTGTGTTTGCCTTCCAAGAACACTGTATTACTTTTTTTTCCACAATTATCATAACTAATGCACAAAGAAAATAAAGTAATTTAAATGAACCGGTAAAAACTGTGAATGAACCAAATTTAAGTTGTTGACTTTCTTCACATCCTAAATAAGTTCCAATCAAATATTTTGAGGTTTTTTTTTTTCTACTAACATCATAAGGCAAAAGAGGAAGTAGTTTTTAGAATTCACAATAATAATCAAAAAGCTTTTAATAATGAGTAACAAGCAATATGAGCAAAGAGGAATTAAATTAGCGCCCCAGCTTAATGGCTTGTCGTTTTATGTTTGTGAACTGTCAGATATTAGAAAGAATTAGAAAAGGCAGACACATTTTCAGTTTAATAAATACTGAAATCACTGAGAAAATGTATTACGGGATTCACTGTAAGAAGAGAGGCCGAGAGCCCCTTGCACTCACGTTAGTTATTAATTAAGGCTTCAATGGCAAAACACATTTTAGAACCCATCTTTGATGTAGCCTGTGAGAGAACTACAATTACTATTCCTCTTTCAGAAAACACCTTTCTTCTGTAATATCATTCACACAACATAACAGCACCTACACGTTGGCATGTTCTTTGATTTCAGCTAAGCATTCAACACAATCTCCCCCATGAGACTGATTAGCACTCTGGGCTACAGTACCAAACCCGGTATCATGCCAAAGCGTATAATACAAATGTAGTTGATCGGCAGGTCTATTACACCCTTTGGCGTGAGACTATGTCGGAGTACCACACTGGAGATTGGACTTCCTCACAAACAGACCCCAGACAGTACGGATCGGCAGTCAGACGCCTTCTCCACTCTGTTGCACAACATCGGCGCCCCCCAAGGGAGTGTGCTTAGCCCCCTCTTGTTCACGCTGTACACCCATGACTGTTTACCCACAACATGGAGATAATCCTGTCATGAAGTTTACGGACGACACCGCCATCATCATCAGCCAGATTTCAACAAACGATAAAACTTCAAATTGAGAAGAAAACAACAATCTTGCAGATTGGTACACAGAAAACAACATACTTATCCGCGTCATCATTGATTTTAGACACTAAATCACTGGCGCTAAGGAACCATTTTAGGTTGCTGCCTGGGAATCAGCAAGAACCTCTCCACCTCTCCATCGTAAGGAAACTTAAGAAAGCAAAATCCCTGTTCCAAGTTCTTGTAAACTTAGCAATAGAAACTGACTAGAGACACCACAAATTGGAATGGTTTCTGCATGGCCCAGGAAGGCTCTGCCGTGGGTGATTTAAAAGAACATCATTGGTACTCGTCCACCAAGCATCAGTGATGTTGCTGAGTTGAGGTGCTAGCACAGAGCTAAAAAGACAGACTACAGAGAAGCTTCTTTCCTCAGGTTGTTCTTGTGTAGCATAAAGGGACTAAAGCTTGCATTTTGTTGTGAAACCCTGTGTTGCAGAATGACAAATAAATAAACCTTGAAAGTCACTGCTCCCGTTCATGGACCAGGTGCCAAATATTACGCACACATTGTGGCTCTTTGTGTAAATGTCCTGCCTGCATAAGGGGAAATTCAACGTTTGTGTAACAAACACTTACGTCTGAATGACAGAGAGTTGTTACTATGCCAGAAATGTTAGATATTCCTCATATGAAAAGGTTGCTGGATTCTTACAAAAAGCTGAAGTTTATAAAAGTATGCAAGTGTTGGAAAGACTCTTAATCACAGTCTCTCTTTCTCTTTCTCTCACTGTTCATCTCAGTCTTTGATACCTGATAACACCTGATGGATAGCAGCAGCTTCATTCTCAGTTTGAAATAGACTTGTTTCATTTCTCTTCTTATAGCTGCTTATCAGTTTCTGCCGAGTGGATCCAGCTGGGTCCTTCTTCTTTATACACTGTGTGTGTGTTTGTTGCCGTAGATCATCTCTCTGAGGCATTCACATATTTTATAGCCTAATATTAATGGAAAAGTCTTGCAGTGGAACAGATTTTACTCTACACATACTAAGTTGTGTGTGTGTGTGTGTGTGTGTGTGTGTGTGTGTGTGTTTCAAAGCAGTGTATTTGCCTTATAGGGTTGTGTGAGTTTGTGCGTGTGATTGTGTCTGTGATTTGATCGTGCTGGCAGCCTTGAATATCATGACAAACTTGCTGTTGGAGTTTAGAGCTCACAGATGGCAGCTCTTCTCCTAAAAAGGCCAAAACCTTCAAAGCATTCTGCAGTTTTTAAGGTAACAAGTGCACAAAGACTGTCCTAGACTTTAAAGGGGCAATACACAAGGTTTATCCAACCCCAAAGCAGAAAATGACCAAAATATGTCATCTGTAAACAGGGTTGTTCATTAACACTAGTAGCTGATCATTTCATGAGCAGCTCCTTAATGGCTTATACAATTTCTGTGTTATTCTGTTTTAGAAAAAAATACATAAATAAATCCCGCCCACTACGCTTACTGCCTGGTTAGATAGCTTACTCAGAGGGACTTTACTGTTTATGACATAGGTTAAGAAAGAGACAACAAGTCTAAATTCAGTAATTTATATTCCTGTTGTAATTAGATGTACGTGTTTTGTTGCCCCAAAGATTTTGATTTACATCCATATATACACCAGAGCAAGATCAAAATGTTTTTTTAATCATTTGAATGTGAAAGCACATCTAGATGCCCACGTTTAAACGTTTTTTTGATAACTCTGTACCAGGTCCCAACTTCATATCCATTTATAGTCAATCCCTACTAGGTTATCTCAACAACTTAGACTGCCATAAAGTTTTGTATGAATATTCATAGTCGCGAGAGTTTGTCCTTCGGTCTGTGCGCACAACACATTAGAATGTAAGCCAATGGTTCCCATCCTTTTTTATTTGTGACCCCCTAATAGATTACCTTGTCATGAAGTTCACATTTATGAGTTGTGAGCAGTTGAAAGAAAGACTTATTTCCCCTTATAAGACTGTTTATTGGAATTATGTTTAGATAA